GCAAGTTGCTGCTGGATCGCAGTCGTTCAATGATGAATCCAAGCATTCGTTGACTAGTTCACGGCATTCACGACCTAAAATTGAATTTTTGAATGGATTAGGCAGCGATACACCGTAGTTTTTAGTTTATTTTATTTATTCATTGTTTAGGTAACCCCTAGAAAATTGATTCTGGATTTTTTGGCTGGCCCATCACGAACGGACCGGAAAAACATGTCGGTTGGAGATTTTAAAATGGCACGAAAATCGTTTGCCCCTCCCACCCACCTGCCTCCGTTAAAGTCACTTTCAGCTAGAGCTATACGACCATCTAGCACTAACTTATTTTCACGAAAATAAAAAAAAAACTTGGACCGCAGGTGCACGCTTTTTTGACTTTTCGAAGCAGATGGATAAGGGCTGGTACTATATGCACATTTATCGATTTCTCAAAGGAGGCGGAGTACCAAAACGAAAGTGTTAACATTACTTACCTGGTTTGTTTTTATTTGCATCCACATATCCATCACGGCATTTGCAGGTGTATTTCTCTGGTCCGTCCACTTCTTCACAAATAGCTGCCACATGACAGTCGTGTTTAGTATCGTCCAAGCACACTCGTTCCAGGCATTTACGGCCTAAACACTTGGTCATTTGCGCCGAAATTACAGTGACACAGTGAACTCACTGGACCGCAAATTCTCTGTTACTGTCTTGTTCGCTGCGAATACCAGGGCGTGTTCAAGAAGGGGGGATTCTGGATTTGGCTGCCCCTTTCCACCAGTTACTGTCGTTTACGCTCTTACGCATTTCTACGATTGCTGGAGGACGGATTAGCACCGTGTCAAACCCAGCCCCCTTGATACATACACATACGCACTGGATAAGACTGTAGGTAAGGTAATTGTGGGGTAGTAGTCAGGAGATTCACGCTGCGATGACGTGCAGCTTCCCAGGGTTTCCTGGCCAATTGACTAGACAAACTACAGTACGTCATTCTGAATAATGGTGCGAGCGCATAGCCTCGCTTATAGCACCTTTGTCGCGTCGGCGCAGCACGGATCTCGCGACCCGTATCTGGCACCTGCGTATAGAAAGCTAGATATAATCCATATTTGGGAGATGGAGAGGACGTGGCTGCGCACTTCACGGCGGAAAGAGCCTTTTTCGCAAGAAATTCAAGAATTCTCTATTTGGGACAAATGCGATCCTGTATTGTGCTAGGCAAAGGCTGATCGCACTTGCCACAAAACAGCAAGATGTTTCCAGAAGCGCAGATGCCACTACGCTCGAATGAGCTCCCAGCTACGCCCTCTTCAGCTCCTGGATATGGAGTGTACGTATAGTCATATCCATAGGATGTCATGGAGCCTGTCTTCAGGCTTTTCTTGTAAGCTACCAAAAAATTTCCAAGCAAACTGACCCATTCGATGAGGCAGAGGACTGCGATCGAGGAATCCGGCCTTACAGACACATTCATAGTCGTTGGCACCACGTTCAATGCATTGAGCATTCTTATCGCAGTCATGACGTCCAGATTCACAGAGTTGATTGGCTGAAAGTAAAATGTCATCGTGTTTCTAGGACATCGTATGAGCTTTGGGTAAGAAGTGCTGCGCGCCGCCCATTTTGACGAGTTTTCGGTACAAGGATCCTAACTAAATTGCTTTAGCTCCTTTTCTCCCTATAACAATTAGGCCTGACCACGAGCGCACACGGTTTTGAATAGCTTACATGAGAACTCCACAATTTCACATCGTTCTCAGGCTTTTTGATAGTTGGAAGGGCCGTGAGGCGGCGCAAATAAGCTCACTTTCTGCTCCTTCTCATCAGGATAGTGATACAGTCCGTTTCGCAGGTTGAGCTCTAGTAGGGCACGACCGACCAGAGTGGGTATTACAGCCTACCTACCTACTCACTACTTACTTGACGTTCTTTCTTCTCTTTCTTTTTGCGCTGGGCAGAAATTGTGAATCAGAGAACTTCTGTAAAGAAAATGCTGAATTGACACCCTCCTCACTACAGCAGTCTTGTTCGCTGGGGATGCTAGGGCCCCCACAGGGCTAGCTGAAGCGACGCCAGGCCGATTTCCAGCTATTGTAGTCGCTTGCCCCATTCCAAAACTGGTAGAGAACACCCTGGTGTGCGCCAAACCTGGCCGTTTGAAACGCAGCATCCGGAGCGAGAAGACCATATCTTCGGCACTGTTAGGGCTAGATGGGCCGGAAGGGGGAAGATGCATTCCACAGATTCGTTAATTTATTGTAGTAGTCCTTTTTGGACCACGTTTTGCTTAGTTGAGGACCTGTAGACCCTCTTGTTAGGTGCTATCGAAGCTCCTGCTGGTATATAGTTTCAAAGGAATTTGCAGCTCTCCACAAGAGACATGGACAATGGCCGACGGAACCAGCAACATGCCCTCACCAAGCCCTATTTGCTGGTAATTACTGGTGCTGATTAACTACATGGGTGGTAACGGGAGATTCCCAGAGACCCCTCAGGCGTGATGACTGTACATGAGGGGTCATAATTGAAACCGTCAAATGCTTACACACTGAACCCGTTCAGCGATGTTTCGCTAATGGGCTTTCATAAGACGTGATTCATTCGTACGCATTACGTTCCCTCAGTTCTGATTAGTATTCGAAGTGGAACCGGTGGCAGATGCCTGCCATAAAACTTTCTTGATGTCTTATTCATTCGATTAGAGGATACTAGCAAAGAAATCAAAATATGTAGCTAAGCGGGCAGACAACTGGACGGCAAACTGGTCTGAGTGCTAATTACTATGGCGAAAATGGAAATGTTGGCGGTATTCGGCTTGGCGGAGGCGTTTTGCACTTTGCTAGTCTCCTTTGTTAGTTCATGTTGACTAATAGGTATCACGAGCTGGAGTAAGGAGAGGGGGATCAACTGCTAGGACTAGGAGGAATCATCGGTAAAAAATAAGTGGGTAAATAGTAGTTTCCGGAGGAAAGTCCAGCAACCGGACGTTTTTTCGGGACATTTCGGCGACGCGGGGGAGCGTGGGGGCATTTTGCTCTCTTGCTACTTCCCATCGACGTTCGACCCATCAATGGAATCTTTCCTCGAGTTAACAGATTTTACCATGTTGGCTCGACGAGCTTGCTTCCAGCTTCACAAGAGTTTAAGGTTCCATCAGATTGGGACTTGTAAACCGGAGCTAGTGGAGCAGACAAAGTGGGGAAATGCCTATTGTCGCCGAACTACGCAGAATTTTCTTTCGCAGCTTTGAAGAATTTCTTTCAAGGAGACCCCTCCCGTTCACAAGAGACAGATTACAACCACGATAGGATTCTCAGAACGATGCTGAACCCTGTTCGGAAGGTCTACAAGTAGCCGAAATTGCAAGAATATTGTTGACGAGTGGGACGGTCGAAGCAGACCTAATTATTACCGGTCGCGACGTCGAAGCAGAACTAAAATCTTACCTTTACGACAGTCATCGTCGCAGGATTTGCTTACTCGTTCAGTGGCAACGTAGGGCCTTCCTCTGCACTGGCCATTTGTCAGCGTCACGCAGTTATCTGAAAACAGATAATTTCCAACAAATACACGTTCGTGAACTCTCAGAAAGCGTGCGAGCACTAAAAGAAAACTCCAGAATGGTTCTGGCTGAAAACATGATGATTCTTATACTTCTTACAAGGATGCATCAGCGCAAGGAGGACACCACATCAGCTGCCCCTCCAAAGCGACATATAAAGCGAAAACAGCACCGCTTGTGCTTGCAATCTCTCCTCGAATTCATAGAATAAAGATTTCATTGGTCGTTCTTGCCATGGACGAGGTGTTATCATCTGAATGCCGTTGGGGGGGGGTTATCAATAGCTTCAGTCAATCATTCCACGTTAATTTCCATCCATATTTTTCACCTGCTCAATACTCATGAAAATCACATTTGCGGCAATTCTTATGATTACTGCCAACTAGCTGTCTTCTCGAAGTTGAGACTTGCAGACTTTCAGCGCTTAAATTTATAGTAACTTGTAACGGGGTTCACTATACAGTCGTTTTCGGCAGACGCCGGGGTATGTCAGGGGAGAGGGGGAACTGGCTGGGTTTAGCACGACGTCAACTCGGTTTCCACCAATTGTCGCTTGTCCTTTTATCACTTGGCAATGAAACTGGTGGGTCGTGATAAGGGATATGCTTAGAGTCTCCGCTCGTCATTCATACGCAACAGGCCACGGACACGCAACACGCCGCACATTTAGTCAGACACCTAACTATAGCCGCCTACGCTGCTTGTCCTGCCTACTTACGTTTGACTGAAGAGCTATTCTTTCTGCAGCTCAGCTTTGGCAGCGTGCAATACTATGTACTGCGGGAACCTTGTGGCCCAGGGCCCGTTGCCCCTTTTAGCTTGTCCGCTTCAGCAACTGATCGCGAACGAGGTTCCATCGCTTCAAATTCTACCCCTGACACTACCTAGCGTTTGCGGCGAAAACGACTATACTTATCCAGT